TTTTATTTATTATTATTCAGTTTAACCAGAGAGAGAGAGAGGGAGAACACCACCAAGTCCAGGGCTTGAACCATGATCAGCCAAGTGGAAGTCCATACCTTATCCACCATGCCACCTGCTGGCCCCTGTCACATCTCTTTATGCTCTAGATTGGAACATGTTCTCAGCCTTTCTTTGTCTTTAATGACATTGACATTTTTGAAGAAAGTGACACCTCAATTTGTATTTGTCCAGTGTGTCTGCATGATTCAATTTAGGACATGTGGCTTTGGCAGCAATGCTATATTTGTGATATGTGTTCCTCAGTCCATCATCTCAGAAGGCACATGTCCACCTGTCCCATTGTCAGTGATACTGACTTGGTCCTTATGGTTAATGTGATATGTACTGAGTTTCTCCACTTAAAAGTTATTTTTTCTTTTTAAATAATTTGTGGGGAAATACTTTGAGACGCAGTTCCATTCCTTATCAAACTTTCATGCACAGAAATTTTAACTTTCTTTGATGGTTTTACATGAATCAATTATTACTCTGATAATTCAGATACTTAATAAGGTTTAAATAATTGAATTTTAAAAGCTCATACTATAGGAGGGAGCCTATTTTAGCTGTTAATAGCATTAGAGTGTTAGAAGTGTTTTGTGCTGAACTAGAATTGGTCTCCTGAGACTTGGATGCATTTTTTAAGTTCTGTGCTTATGGCACCTGAGATGAGCCTGCCTGTTTACCAGTCCCCGCAGCAGCCCTTCAAAATGTGTTCCCTTTGAGACTTGGCTTTCCTGAATTTATAGCCATCCTGTCGGTTTCCTGATAGCATTCATTTATCAGTGTCACCCCAGATCTTAAATTTGATACCCAGATCTGTATGCTAACTCTTGATACGGTTTGATCTGTCAGTACAATAGTTCAATGTTGTCCTGCAGTGTCTTTTGATGCTCAGAGTGTGAGGCTCTGGAGATAAGTAGATCTGACTTCAAGTTCTGGTTCTGCCACTTACTAGCTATGTGATCTTAAATTTCTAACATCTACAAATCTCATTTTCATCATCCATAATGAATTGTAATAGTAGCACCTGCTTTTTAGAGTGGAATGAAGATTAAATAAATGTACATGTAGACTCTTACGATGGTGTCTTGCACAGTAAGCACTCATAAAATATTATATAGAAAGCATGCTTTTGTTTTGCTGTACAGTAATTTTTTTTGCTGTTGTCTTGTACTTGAGGCTTATTTAAACATGGTGAAAATCAGAAAGTTATAATAAGTTCTTCTGAAACAGTCATTTGGACCAAAAAGCCTTTGATTGCCATGGGGTGCATGTACTTTCTAGAAAAGAGAGAGGAACAGGGCTGGCAGGTGGTGTGGTGGTTAAGGACACTAGATTTCCACATGGCTGACCTTATCAAATTTTATGCACAAAAACTTTAACTTTCTTTGGTAGTTTTACCTGAACCAATTATTACTCTGATGGTAATAATTCAGATATTAGGTTTAAACAATTGAATTTTACAAGCTCATGGGGCTGGTGACATGCTCGCACGCTCTCTCTCTCTGTCCCTCTCTGGTTAAATTTAAATAAATAAATAAAGGATGCTCAGAGTGTGAGGCTCTGGAGATAAGTAGATCTGACTTCAAGTTCTGGTTCTGCCACTTACTAGCTATGTGATCTTAAATTTCTAACATCTACAAATCTCATTTTCATCATCCATAATGAATTGTAATAGTAGCACCTGCTTTTTAGAGTGGAATGAAGATTAAATAAATGTACATGTAGACTCTTACGATGGTGTCTTGCACAGTAAGCACTCATAAAATATTATATAGAAAGCATGCTTTTGTTTTGCTGTACAGTAATTTTTTTTGCTGTTGTCTTGTACTTGAGGCTTATTTAAACATGGTGAAAATCAGAAAGTTATAATAAGTTCTTCTGAAACAGTCATTTGGACCAAAAAGCCTTTGATTGCCATGGGGTGCATGTACTTTCTAGAAAAGAGAGAGGAACAGGGCTGGCAGGTGGTGTGGTGGTTAAGGACACTAGATTTCCACATGGCTGACCTTATCAAATTTTATGCACAAAAACTTTAACTTTCTTTGGTAGTTTTACCTGAACCAATTATTACTCTGATGGTAATAATTCAGATATTAGGTTTAAACAATTGAATTTTACAAGCTCATGGGGCTGGTGACATGCTCGCACGCTCTCTCTCTCTGTCCCTCTCTGGTTAAATTTAAATAAATAAATAAAGTTAAATAAAATAATTCTTTAAAACAGAAAAAGAGAGTAAGAAAGCATCACCCCAAAGGGGTTTGATCATGCCATGATCCCTTTTCCACCTTTTACATCCTGTCTGGATTTTGGGTGTGCACATACATCTATGCCTGGCGTATTTTTCAAGCTGCTTGTGCTGGAATTTGAACCATTGTTGACCGTGAGAATCCCTTAGCCACTGGTCTAACAGAAATGGCTCAGGACAAATATTTTAATTTATGTAAAAGATACTCTACCAAGTTATAGCACTTGAGAGGTTTTGGATTATTTCTTAAATCTTTTGTATATGTTCAGGAGATAAGTAGGTTATAAAGAAGCATTTGAGTTATTTGGATAGACCCTAAAGCAGTCATCTTTTGTGGCATAGCAAATATATAATCTATCTTTCCTTTCTGGTTTTGTGCGTGTGTTTGTTTGTTTGTTTGTTTTGATAGAGAATATGTGCATGCACCAGAGAGGGAGAGGACAGAGCACCTCCCCTTGGGGAATGGTCACACCTCAATTCCTTCTCCTTCATCTCTCTCTCCTTTCGGAATTTTTGGCACGCATTCCACATGAGCCCAGTGTGTTTCTTAAGCTGCCAGGTCTAGGGGCCTTGAACTGTACAGTTGGCCATGGATTTAGCTCCCTTATTGACCAGGCAGTGGTATCAGGCCCATTTGTGTAGTTTTTCATTGTTAAATAATACTTTCAGAATTAGTCATAGAAATCAGAATGTTTGGGGACCAGCAGTTGGCATAATGGCTATGGTGGCTGAACTCCCATGTAGTCGACTGCGATTCAAGTCCTTGAGCCAGTGGCTTAAACTCACTCCGGTTACGTGTGCGTGCGTGCCCAAGATCCTGAGAGGATAATGAAGAAGGGATTGCACCGTGGCCATCCACCCTGGAGGGTGATTTCTTGCTTTCTATCTCTGTCTTTCTGGCAGGCAAATGCACCCTATAGCAAAAACCTCAAAAAATAAAAAAGGAAGAAATTGTAATGTGTGAGTGCTGTTTCTCACTGTGTTTCTAAACTGAAGATTTAGATAGTACATTTACTGTATTCATGAAATCTTAAAGCTTTTCCTAAAATTTGCTAAGGCAGTTGAGGCCAATATGAGCAGTATTCAAAAAGTTTATGGAGAATGTATATCATGAAAAAACTATGCATCAATTTCAAAATTGTTTGTACCAGGGACCAGCAGTTAGCGTAATGGCTATGTCGCTGGACTCCCACGTAGTTCACCGTGGTTCGAGTCCCGGACCTGGTGGCTTAAACTCATGCCGGGCACGTGTGCATGCGTGCCCAAGATCCCAGAGGAGAATGGAGGAGAAGGGATTGCGGTGTGGCCATCCCCCCACTGGGGGGGTGATTTCTCGCTTTCTATCTCTCTGTCTGTCTGGCGAGTGCACGTGCCCTATAGCAAAAAATCTTTCCAAAAAAAAAAAAAAATAGTTTGCACCAGAATAAACTCCTAATTTAATTCCATTTTCACATAGGTTTTGAATTATCCTCCTATATGCACTACCCCTACACACACACACATGTTGAGGCCAGTGTGCTTAGGAAAAAAAGTAGTTACCTGGGCATTTTAAGACATTTTGATTGAAATGTACTTACTTTGATTGACATTTGCTTTTAATAGTGAGAAAAATGCCAATGGGGAAAAAAAACTGTTAAAACATCTGTACATGGCTTTCTGATGTTATACATCACAGTTTAAACATAGTAGTAGATTGTTATTTATAAATTTAGATTGGATCAGGAGAATGGGCAGTAAGGAATATGTGTCAGATTTTTACATGGTGTACTTCATTTTTATCTAAGAGTGTAATTTAAAAAAAAATAAATCTTTTAAATTAACTACAAACTTTCCCCTGTTCATTTCAGCTCTGCAAACTATCATGATTGCCTGTGAAATACGTATTTGTTACTGAGGTAGAGACATAGAAAATTCAATCTCATTATTGTACTTAGCCCCTAATTTGCAAAGCTGGGTTTTGTTTGTTTTTTGAGGGGTTTTTTTTGTTGTTGTTCATTTGTTTTGGTAAGATAAAATATTTCCTGTAGGAATGCAATTTTATTTTCCAGATTGTCCTAACAGTAGATTAACTGCAGCAATAATTAACTGCAGTACTCTAGAAGTTGGAGTCTGTAGACAGAGTTCATGAAAAATGTCAGAGTATAGCTCTGGCTGTCATGACTGGACTAAGAATCTCACTCGCAGTCATGACAAGTTACTCTGCGACACTGGAGGCACTCCACTATGCATTTGTAAAGGCGTTCTTAAGTTGGTGGTGGTTCTAAATAAATGAGCTAAACTTTAGGAAAGTATGAGGGGCAAAAATTGCATGGAAAATGCATATTATGAAAATGCATGAATTTCAGCCTTTTTTTTTTTTTTTTTTTTTTTGCATCAGAATGAACTTGTACTTTGATTCCGGTCTGAAGTCCCCTGTAGAATAAAATACCTACTTTTGTTTACTTTGGGTACAGATGATTATAAAAAGTAATCCTTGTTCACTTAGCCTATGGCCAGTTGGAGAAAAACTTACAGGTTTAAGTTACATATTGTTGTATTACACATTAGTGTCAAATACCAAATAGAATTTTTTATTACATAATTTTACCTTAGTAATCCTTTCTACCTACCTGCAATAGTGAAAACACTTATAATTTTAGGTAATTAAAATGTGGTACATAATTGATTTTAACTATTTCAACTCTGTCTCATGTTAAATGTGTTACAGGAATGAATCTGAAGTCTGCTGCAGTAAAACACTGAAGGCTTTAAAATGTTTTCTTGCATAAAACTCAAACTTTAAGTAGCTGCTTATGAGGATAGGGAAGTCAGGAAGCTAATGTCTGTCTCAAGATACAGGACAGCTGTTTGCTCATCAACCTCAACTGTGTGAGTAGAGACTTAAGCCTGTAACCCTGTGTAATTGGGTGTAGTAACTTAATTTTTTAAAAATCTAAAGTGCTTGAAGATACACTTAAGTAAGCATGATGAGACATTTTTTAGGACTTTTTTTGTTTTTTTTTGTTTTTTTTTTGGTGGGTAGGAGACTGAGGGTGGAGTGGGTAGTAGATTTTTATAAAATATTTTTGTATATTAACATTTATAACTGAAGTCATCTGTGACCATGCATCTTTTTTCAAAATTATTTGTGCATTAGAATCTGCATTGTTTTATTTTATAAAGAAAAGATTATAATTCTTTATATTGCTATTTATTTTGCAATTGATTTAAGCCTTTTAAAATTAATATTTTGACCAACAGACATTTAAAAAGTGTGTTTTGGTAATATGATGTTTGATACTAATATACAAAATAGCTCCTGGAAATAATTTAATAATTTAAGTTTAATCAGAATAAATACTTCAAAATAAAGGAACTCTTGTTTCATAAATACAATCAGAAGTCTTGTAAACATTCCAATTTTATTTTTAAGTGTTTCGATAATGTAAATTCCTGGGAACCAGCAGTTAGTGTAATGGCTATGTCGCTGGACTCCCACGTAGTCGACAGCGGGTCACGTCCTGGACCCGGTGACTTAAAACTCATGCCAGGCGTGTGTGCGTGCGTGCCCAAGATCCCGAGAGGAGAATGGAGGAGAAGGGATTGCAGCGTGACCATCCTCCCTGGGGGGTGATTTCTCGCTTTCTGTCTCTCTGTCTCTGTCTGGCAAGCGTACACGCCCTATAGCGAAAACCTCTCAAAAAAAAAAAAATTCCTATAGAAGAAAAAGATTTTTCTTTTTCTGTTACTAAGAACTCATGGGTGGAAGTTTTTCCCCTACTCTCCCTTTTATCCTTCATGAATTTAGGAGTTGAGACTTGTAATTGGATGTTCTCCTCTCCTTTAGAAGAAGGCATGTTTTGTACAGATAGGGTGATTAAACATTTAAATGTTGTATTGAGTGAAATGATGAGCATGTAGGTAAAGATTTATAATATCTGTTAACTGTTGAGTGAGGTCTGGGAAAGAGGGAGTGTTATCTCCATGGTGGATTTGCACTAAGATGAATTTACTTTCGCTTTCATATTGCACTTGTATTGGTTGAAGGAGAATCTAAATGGACTATCTTTAAAATCATTGAATTAGAAGGCATATTAGTGTGTAAGAGTACATATTGAGAGCAGGCTGGTGGTATGGTGGTTCAGGGGGCTGGATCCCACATGGTGGACAGTGTGGTTTGAGTCCTGGACCTGGTAGCTTGAAAAACACCTGGACACATGTGAGTGCGTCCCCCAAATCCTGAGAGAATAGAGGAGAAGGGATTGCTGTATAGCCATCCTCCTAGTAGGTGCTTTCTTACTTTCTCTCTCTTCCCTTCTCTCTCTCCCCCTACTTCTCTTTCCTCTACCCCTCTCTCCTTTACCCCTCTCCATGAGCACACACACTCTATTGCAAAACTTAAAAAAAAAGAAAAGAAAAGAATACACATTGAATGTGGATGTTCTTATGAAAGCAGACAGGGTTCCTGGCAGAAAGGAAGAAAGTATGTCCTGTTCCGTGACCTGGTGTTTAAGACTGCTGGATCCTACATGGCTGAATACACAGATTGAGTCCCTGACCTGTGGCTTAAGAAACATGCTGGGCATAGGTGTATGCATACATCCTCAAAGGAGGGAGATGGAAGAGAAGGGATTGTGGTGGAAGCATTCCCTATGGGGGTACTTTACCCTTGCCCCCTCACTCTGGGAAGTTCATGTACTCACTAGCAAAAAAAAAAAGAAAAAAAAAAAAAGATGGAGTTGCATTCTTCCTTTCTGAAGCGGTCAGTGGATACTCAGCACTACATGAGTCTCAAGAGGTTATCTCGTTCCTCATCTTTCAGTACCTCTAGAGAAGATACATTATAATCTTTTTTTAATGATGATAAGCTTCACTTTAATGAAGTTTTAAGGTCTATAATACGAGATTTAACTCTCCAGTTACAGTCTTTTGTCATTTTACGTGTAAAGCTGAGTTTAATTTGGTGCTGCTGCTTTGTTTCAGCACGCTTTCCTCCACTCTTTTTTTAAATTACTGTCAAAAATAAAGAAAATTCAAGGTGAAGGAAGACTTTGGAACATACTAATGAAATTTGATTTTAAAATGAGATTAGGCAGAAAGGATATGTATTAGGAAAGAGAGCTGCTGTTACAGTTATAGAGGGTTTGGGGGAAATGTTGTAACGATAAATTGATCCCAAATTTCCTTCCCTCTTTCTGTCTCTCCGAGGTGATTCTCTGTGTTCTTTATTACTCTTCTGCCAAGGGGATAGAAGAAAGTGCTAAGACAGTAGTTAACTTTACTGGGACAAAATGTACCTGTGGGGATCCGTGAAAACCATACATAAAACTCTTCTGTTCCCTCTGTCCTGTCCTGCTCCCCTTCCCACAGTAGTATATGTTGTATATATTGATCTTGTACCCACTTCTATGACATGATTTTACCTATAGATTTATAAATGTATTTTATTTTATTTCCTTTTACTTTTCATATTATGCAGTGTGATGAATAGGAGTTCCAGGGCTGTGTAAGGTCTTGGTTATTAAAATACCCGGGATTTGGGACCAGCAGTTAGCGTAATGACCATGTCGCTGGACTCCCACGTAGTCTGACTGCGGTTCACGTCCCCGACCTGGTGGCTTAAAACTCACCCTGGGCATGTGTGCGTGTGTGCCCAAGATCCTGAGAGGAGAATGGAGGAGAAGGGATTATGGAGTGGCCATCCTCCCTGGGGGGATGATTTCTTGCTTTCTGTCTCTCTGTCTCTCTCTCTGTCTGACGAGCGCACGCGCCCTATAGCGAAAAACCTCTCCAAAAAAAAAAAAAAATACCCAGGGTTATGGAGTTGAACTTCCAGAGTTCAGATCCTGGCTGTCCCTTTTCACAGCCAAGTAATATGTCAAGCAAATTAAACTTTGCTGTCACTCAGTTTCCTAATTTGTAAAATAGATACAGTAATACTTTGTTACCTGATGAGGTGTTGGGAGGATAAGTGAGTCATCAATACTTACAATTTGTTATTATTAAACCTCTGTTTCTTCTAGAGGAGTGATACTAGGTAGCATTTTATGAGTACTCAAAGTAATACATTTGAAAGGTTTAAGATGAAGAATTTGAGAATCATAAAATAGGAGGTGAGTAAAGAGGGGGAGGAGGTAGTAAGAGGAAAAGGTTGAGAAAGCTTTCGAAAGGGTATATTTTGTTTATCTGGGCATTAGTTACACAGTTCAATTTGTAAACATTTAAAATTTATACTTAGGGCTTGCATACTTCTTATGTTCAAGAGAAAAATAAAAGTGGAAGTTGTTGGGTTCTTTACCTTTGAGGATATCGTTACTATAGAAAGTTTTTAAAAGTTTTTTTGCCATAGGGCATGTGTGTTCACTGGAGAGAGGAGAGCAGCGGGAATGAGAAAGCATCCTCATGACGAATGATGATGCCAAAATCACTTCTCCTGTTTCTCCCTCCTTTCACGATTTTGGGCATGTGTGCACACACACCTGATGTGTTTCTCAAGCTCCTGGGTCTGGGATGCAAACCGTGAGGTTGGCTATGTGGAATCCAGCCGCCTTAATCAGCCATGCCATGGGCTGGCCATAGAACATCTTGTGATTGAACTAATGAAGGGTTGCTTCATTTTGATCTGCCTTTGTTATTCTTTTAGATTTGAGAGCTTTAGAAAAGCAACTTCTACCACTTAATTCTGGTATTTACAAAGGCTTTGAATTGCAAGTGAGAGCAATGCAGATCAAGCTGAAGCAATACCAGAATTTTGTCTCACGTAACTAGGGAACCCAGGTGCTGGAACAGACCTTAGCAGGGTGGATGCAGGACATCAAGCCCTCTCTGCCTTGGCTTCCCCAAGCCTACCCACTTTGGCCTTTGCGTCTTACTAATTCTCAAGCAGGCTCTTTCTGCATTATTGCAGAGATGGCCATCAGCAGCATCAGGCTTACATCGTAGTGTATTTTACCACTGGTAATAATAAAGGAAAGTCTGTTCCTAAGTGATTGGGACTAGATGAATTTTTGGATCATTCAGATTTTGGAATATTTACTTTACATTTTAGGTATCTTGAGGATCGGACCTGTCTAAACACAGAATTCACTCATGTTTCATAAATACCTTGTACACATATTTTTGTATTGCGACAGTTTAACTGCGACTCATTGCGTGAAGTGTGGAATTTTCCACTTGTGATGTCATGTTGACACTCGGAAAGCTTCAGGTTTTATCTTAATTCTTTTTTTTGGAAAGATTCTTGCTATAGGGCGTGTGCGCTCGCCAGACAGACAGACAGAGACAGAGACAGAAAGCGAGAAATCACCCCCCCCCCCCCACCCCCCCCCGAGGGGATGGCCACGCCACAATCCCTTCTCCATTCTCCTCTCGGGATCTTGGGCACGCACGCACACGAGCCCGGCGTGAGTTTTAAGTCACAGGGTCCGGGACTTGAACTGCAGTCAACTACGTGGGAGTCCAGCAACATAGCCATTACGCTAACTGCTGGTCCGGAAAGCTTCAGGTTTTAGAACAGTTGTACTTATTCCATCTTAGTACCAGTACAGGCCCCAGAGGATGATAACAAATAACTTCTTTAAGAATAGATGGCCACCCCCATGGCCTAATGGTTAAGGGAGCTGGATCCTGCATGGCCAACCATTTGTTTCAGATCCTAGTCCCCACAGCTTGAAAACACACCAGACACATGTGTGTGCATGCCCCAAATTCCTACTGGATGAAGAAAGAAAAAGGGATTGCAGCCTGACCACATCCCAGTGGGGGACGCTTTCTCCTCCCTCCCTCTCTGTCTCTGGTAAGCTCATGTGCCTTCTGGTAATTAAATAACTAAAAAGTTAAAAAGCAGAAGGCAGGCTGGGTAGTGTAGTGGTAACAGTCTGCTCAAGCAATATGAAGGATCGCAGGTTTGGTTCCTTGTTGGACCTGTACACACTGGGCAGGTGCATGCACTGGTGGTTCTGGCTAGCCCAGGTTCAGAGAGATTGCATCATGGTACCTGTTGAGCCACCATGTCTCTGTCTCTCTGAATCTATACCCCTTTCCTGCATCGTCATGAAAAAATGGAAGAAACATGGGACCAGCAAATGGTGTAATGGTTACGTCACTGGACTCCCACGTAGTTGACCGTGTGGTTTGAGTCCTGGACCTGGCGGGTTAAACTCATGCTGGATGTGTGTGCGTGCGTGCCCAAGATCCTGAGAGGATACTAGAGGAGAAGGTTTTGTGTTGTGGCCATCCCTCGGGGTGGGGGGGGGTGGTGGTGTGGTGGTGATTTCTTGCTTTCTGTCTCTGTCTTTGTCTTTCCAGCAAGCGCAAGCATCTTATAGCAAAAACCTCTTCTTCCCCACTCCCCCCTCCCCCCAAAAAAAGGAAGGAAGAAACAAACAAAAAAAATAGAGCAGATGAGGATCAGGGTGGACAGAAATGGGCCCAGAAGAAGTAGTATTTAAAACAGAGCTCTTAAAATAGATAGACTTGTTTGTTAGAGGCAGAAACAAGAGACTTAGAAACACACTTCGAAGAATGAGAATGATTCGTTTCAAAGAGATGGAAGCAAAGGACCCTCTACTTTCAAGAAAAACACAGTAGGAACAGTGATTTGAGCCTCTGCTTTGTGCTCTCTAGATGCTTTCTGTGTGCGTTATTTAATTTGGTTAGCTAGATAATAAAAATATCCTCTTAAGGAGTTGAGAATAGGAAGTTCAGTAACATGCCCAGACACTTACAGTAAATAAAATGTCAAAACTGAGATTCAAACTGCTGCCCACCTAACTCCAAGCCCATTTTCTTTACACAGAGTGTTTCCCAGGGAAAGTAGACTGGTTAGAGTAAATTATGTAGAGCATGAGTGCTGGACTGAGTAATTCTCTCTGGGGCAATTATTATATAGTAACTAAAACATAAGTAACATGAGAACTGGATATTTTAGGAGAATTTAAATAAATGTATTTGGACGAAGGGGAGTAAGACGGAAAGAAATACTGTTAAAATAACCCAAGCAATGAAATTCACAACTGGAGTGGAAAATAAAAGAGCATGAGACATTTTAAAATGAAAATTATTGGACTTGGTAACTTAATCCTAGGGAATGGAGCTAAGGGAACTAGGTTTAATTGACATATATTTGCCATTATAATTGCATCTGTGTGTTGCATTCATTTATTGCTGGGGTTTTTTGGGGGGGTTTTTTTGGTCAGAATTTTAATAATTGGCAATGAATTTTTTTCGCAGTCTTAAACTTTGTGATTTTGAATTTTTTATGCTGATAATACAGTATAAAGAAAAAAATTTTCTCAAGAGTGATTGCAGCTAGTTAAAGCTGCATAGTGCCTTAAGATTGAATAAATGAATGAAATTTTAATCTTTAAATGAAAATAATCATGAATTCTGGCAGAATTATAGGTGGAGATACAATGGACATGATGGTCATCACTTTACTTTTTAGACAGACAAAGAGCCATTGTTTTAGCTCTTTACTTGATAAATAACCTTGGACAAATTATTGTCAATTTTTGAGTATCAGTTTCATCATTTTTAAAATGGGAATATCAATAACATGAGCATTAGTTCTTGAGAATTAAATGAGATACAAATAATAAAAACTGAAATACTGTCTAGGAGGCTGGAGGGAATAATGAGTTATGGTTTTGGTTATGAATGTTATAGTCGGAATTCACATTTTATGAATTCTCTCCAATTCATAGACTTATACCATGTTAATAAATGTGTTTCTTTATGTCTGGTATAGCAAACTCGTTTTGTCTCCTTGGATTTTTAGCTTTATAATACCACAGCACAACAATTAAGGAGTTTTTCTGTCTTCTCAATCTTTTCTCTTGCTCCTTGTCCTCACTGATCATTTGAATGCCAGACTGATGTGTCCTGCAAATATTTTATCTACCGATAAGGTAGGGAGAACAGATCTTTCTTTCAGTTTTTCTGTAGCTATCCTGTTTATGCCATTACACATTCATATAAACTAAGTTAATCCTTTATGGGTTTTGTTTTTTCTGAATTTTTATGTAAAGGTATATTTTGTGGCCTAAAGATGGATAAATAAGGTTTCTTTCATTTTCTTTTTTTTTTTTTTTTTTTCTTTTTAACAACTGGAAAATTTTCACAGATCCTGTAAATTCAGTCTATTACAGTGTTTGTTATAAAGACAATCTGGGCTTATATGTGGTGGAAAAGGAAGGAATATTTTAATCTTTTTTGGGTAATAGAGGTTTTTCTTGACATAATACTAAAACTTGACAATTGGTAGTTTTTTAAAGAGCAGTTGCAATGTAGAATCTCAAACCATATAAACCTTTTTGTCTTATCATTAAATTCATTGGTTTGTCTTTGAATAGTTTTGTATAGTCATATGTGGTCATGTGGCAAATATTGGTTCATCGACTTATGAAGATCTTTCAAATGTTGATATGGTATCAACCAAACATAATTTCATTATCTTACTGATCTCATCAGAAACTCAAAATATGGGACATATTTGTTAAGGTTTTGTTTTGCTTTATTTTTAGGAGAGAGGAATTTTTGCTATAGAGTGCATGTGCTCATTGAAGAGACAGAGACAGAAAGTGAGAAATCCACCTCCCTGGCGGATGGTCATGCCGCAATTCCTTCCCCTTTATTCTCTCGGGATTTTGGGCTTGCCTGCATACACACCTGGTGTGAGTTTTAAGCCTCCAGGTCTGGAACTTGAACCACAGTCGACTACATGGGAGTCTGTCAGTGTAACCATTATGCCATCTGCTGGTTCCATTTTTTTTTTTCCTTTAATTGAATGCTTGGATTTCGTCCTTGGTAGTAAATACTGTTAGTTGTTTGAAGTAACAGGTGCACTTCATTTTCAGGAAAATGTGTGCTGTATACAAGTTTGAATAATTGGTTTATCAGTCATTTCTTCAAATAAAAAATCATGTCTCATGAAAAGGATAACTAAATCAGCCTATAACTCAGTTATACAGTGCCCTTTTCTTTTTATTTCCAGAGGGCATGCGCACTTGCCAGAGAGAGCTGGAGAGACAGAGGAGGAGGAAGAAACCAATAGGACATAGTTATGCCACAGTCCCTTTTCTATTTCTACATCCTGTTGAGATTTGGGGTGCGCCCACACATGCCTGGCTGCTAGGCCAGGGTTTGAACTCGTGGTTGGCCGTGTGGAATTCACCTCCCTTACCCACTGTGCTACAGGGCTGGCCCCACTGTGCTACAGGGCTGGCCCCGCAAGTGCTTTTTCCTTAGTCATTATATGCTTCTGTATTCAGCAGGATTGTTTCATATGTGCTTCCAGATTTTCCACACAACGTAGTAGTGTGTGTTCAGTGTTAAGATTTAATTAATTTTACTGTGAGCATGATAAAAGAATAGTTTGATATCTCTGCCTTGTTTTGGCTTCTTGATAAGGCTCCAGCTTTTGTTCACCTCTGCTTTATACCGCTAGTGCTCTTGTCAGTAAATTGAAAAAGGCAAACAGCTTGTTCGTGTTCTTTTGAAAGCAGATTCAATTTCCATAGAGGTCTTTGGACCACACTTTGAGACCACTGATTTAGAGCATGGACTTTGTGGAGGCAGGCTACCTGGACTGAGTCCCAGCTCTGTTACTTATTCATTACCTGCATGACCTTGAGCAGTTACCCTGATACCAAAACCAGACAAACATTACTTAAAAAGCTACAGACTGGGTTTTTTCTTGCCTTATAAATACAGGCAAAAAAACTCCCCTGACAAATATTCAACATTGGCTTTTCTATACCATCATCATCATTTTTTAAATTCAATATGTATATTTTATATGGCTGCTGCAGAGTAGGATCTGAAGTAGCATATTTTATACAGAACAAGGGAGCAAAGATTGGATTTTGAAATTCAAAATGACACTTATCATTATAGAATAAGAAAGATGCTTTTCAAAACCCCAAATTCCTAGGCAAAAGGTCTAAATACCCTCTTCAGTTCTAGGACATTTCTTTTTAAAGGCAAATACTAACAAACCCTTCTGGGTTGTATTATAATTCAGTCAAGTGAGGTTATTGCCTTTGTCTCAGAAATTTGCATTAAATTCTCCTCACCAGCAACAGCCTTTTCAAATAATTTAGATGAAAAAAAAAAATCTGGTAAGAGTTAATGGTGAATGTTTTCTTTCCTCCAATGTTGTCAATTCAAGGAAAAATATTTCCCTCTTTTGGTTGATCTCATTCTTCATGTTCTTTGAATGTAGATACACACTGATTTTATGGTAAACTTCATTTAGAAGGCCGTTGTTTTTTTTAATAAGAGAGCCTGTTATTACCTTCTGTCATGGTATTCATGCCAGAGAACCACGTGCTTTATGGGAGAAACAGCACATGGGGTTCCTCCATCTGCTGTAATTGATTATTGCCTTCATGTGGTTCCTGCTTCCTCAGTTCCAGCATCTCTTGCCTGGTCCCGATGCCTTTTCTATTAGTTTCTAATTTCAGTTTTTAAATTTTAATAGTATTAAAACGTTGTTCTTCCTCCAGTTAGACAGTACCATTTTTGTTTTACGGAATTTTAAAAGTACAAAAAAAAGTACAAATCAGGGAAAACAATCAGCTATTAGCCTTGTCCTTCATGGATTTGTTCTTCACGGGTTTGTTGTTATGTTTGTTTGATGATTGATAAATGTTCTTTTTGTCCTAATTGGCAACATATTGTGTGTAATTTTTGTGTATGTCTTTTCCTTTATTATCAGCATTTTCCTTCATCAAAAAGTTTTTTTTTTTTATTAAGGTTTTTGCCATATGGTACATGTGCTCACAAGAGAGAGACAGAAGAGAAAATAGGGAACCAGCAGTTAGCATAATGGCTATGTCGCTGGACTCCCACGTAGTTGACCGCGCGCAGTTCGTGTCCCGGACCCGGTGACTTAGAACTCAGCCGGGCGCATGTGCGTGAAGGAAGAGAAAAGAGAGAAATTACCCTCCAAAGGGGGTGGCCACACCACAGTCCTTTCTCTCCTGTTCTCTCAGGATTTGGGGCATGTATGCATATGTGCCTGGTGTGATTTTCAAGCCACCAGGTCTGGGACTTGAACGGCAGTTGGTCATACGGGAATCCAGCTCCTAAACCACACCACCTGCTGGCCCTCAAAAAGTATTTTCTAAAATGTTTTCATTGACTACGTTACTTCTGTCACTAATATGTACCATGCTTTTTTAAAAAAAAGAAAAATCTATTTTCCTGAAGTCAACCAGGTGCTGTGGCATGCACACGTTAGTCCCAGCTGCCTCAGACGCAGAGTGAGACAGGAGGAACATGGCATAGACAGACTTTGTCTTAAAAAAGCAAAATCCATTTTTCTTATTAGATGCTGTGAAGCATACCACTTGTGTATTATTCTTCATTCTTTTTCTGATTATACTCTAGTTATACTAGTATATATATACTATGTATACTCTAGTTATATGAATATACTGTTTTAGGAGAATGACTGGTTCAGAGACCAGTACTTGTTTTGTGCTCTTGAGATGCATTTCTCAGTTGCTTCCAGAAAGATTGAACCAGATTCTTATTTCACCAACATTCTGCCCAGTTCTCTGTATCTTCTCCAGTATTAATATTATGTTAAATGCTTTCCTAACAGAGTATATGATACATATTAATGTGAACCTCAAGCAGACATTTAAATACTGAAAAATTAAATAAATATGATAATCTTACAGTGTGTAATTTCTCCAATACTAGAATTCAAACTGAATTCTAGACTTAAAATAATTTTCCTTAACTTTCTAGCAGTATGAAGTGTTGCAAGCAAATACCTTTCTCTAGAAGTTCTTATACTTCTAGCTGCTACAGACTAGCTTGTGCAGAGTGCATTGTGGTGAGAGTTTAACGTGTGTCCTTTTGGTCTTTATTTTTGTCTTCTCTTAACTTTAGCCATAGGACTTGGGACAGTTGTAGAGAATGGTTTAAAATGTGGGTTTGTTCTTTTATTATATAAAATAGGATATATAATGTAGGATTGAAGTTTTATATCTGATTCTGAGCTAATTCTGTATAAATTTCAGGTGTGCAACAGAGGAACATGGCTCAAGAAACTAATCACAGCCAAGTGCCTATGCTTTGTTCCACTGGCTGCGGATTCTATGGAAACCCTCGCACAAATGGCATGTGTTCAGTATGCTATAAAGAACATCTTCAAAGACAGAATAGTAGTAATGGTAGAATAAGCCCACCTGGTAAGTAATTCTGTTAAAACACAGCAGTGTTCATAATTAAAGTACACTTGGGAAACCCACTGTACTCGATGCCTTTTTAGAGTCTTGTCTGTGTGCATTGTACTTGCATAACCACATTCACATCAGTAAAATTTTCTCTGACCATCAGTGGTGAAGAGTCAGGAGTAAGAGGACCCTTGTTCGTTGAAAAGACTGTAAATGAATTTCATGGTCTTGCTGTGCTGTAGAAATAATTATTATCTTCTTGGCCCACCTCAAGTGTATAGAGCTGTCTTGGAAAGTAAAGTCAGGGAGTGAGGGCTGTAAGAGGACCTTGGTTCTTTATCTGGGGTAACTTTTACAGCCAAGGTAGTTGTTGAAGGAAGCAGTGGATTAAAGATATTCATAGCTATCTTTAAAGGAAGCCATATTCCATTAGAAAGGAGAGGACATAGCAAATTTAACTCGAGTAAGGGATGTTCAACCCTGGTTAACTTGAGGTTTTCTGTTTTGTTTTTTTGTTTGTTTGCTTGTGTTTTTTTTTTTTTTGGTGCTTTTTAATTGAGGTTATTGTCTTTTTTGTGTGTGCTATTTTGTGTCAAAGGATTTTCCTGGAACTAGGTGGTCTTTTATTTTAGTAGTTGTGTAAGAAGTATGAGGATTCTGAGTATAAGGTTTTGCAAAAGAAAGGGTCCACAATTCATCTAGTGCCGTTCTCACATAGATTCATACCTACTTGTATAGATTTTTGTGATTAATGGAAGTGTAAGCTGTTACTTAGTTTATTTAAAATTTTGTACTGGGGGGGATCCAGTAAGTGGCTAAGGCACAGGATTCCCGTAGTCAACCACAGATCAGGTCCCAGACCTGGCGGCTTGAAGATCATGTCATGTCAGGCATGTGTGCATGTGTGCCCAAAATCCCAGGAGGAGAATGGAAGAGAAAAGATTGCGGCATGGCCATCCCCTCATGTGATTTCTCACTTGATTTCTTGCTCGCTCTCTCTAGCAAGCACACACACCCTATGGCAAAAACTTTAAAAAAATTTTTTTTGCACATGTGTGGGTTCGTTTTTGTCATTGTGTCATGTCTAATCCAAAAACTAGAACCATTTGATTGAAACTTCTTCAAAGTTTCTAAGGCTAAAATCAAATGAATATAAATTACTGTTTTTAAATTAAATTGTCTACATTTTTATCTTATGAAGTACAGGGAAAAGAATATAATCTAGTGTGCGGAGCACAGATTTTAATTCTCAACCTATGTCTGCCTTACTGCTGAATTACATTCTATTTTATTTTAGTTAGTCTTGCTATAGGGTATGTGTGCTCACCAGAAGAGACAGAGTGAGAAAGCATGGGGGAGGGTGGCCACACCACACCCCTTCTCCTTCATTCTCCGATTTTGGACATGCATGCAAGCTGTGCCCAGTGTGTATTTCAAGCTGCTGGGTCTGGGCTACGAACCTCATAGTTGGCCTTGTGGGGTCTAGCCACCCTAACCACCATGCTGCTTGACTGGCTCACCTTTTACTTTAAATATCTCATTTATACTAGTACTTACAAGATGTTTGTGAATTAAAGGATTTGGGTTTAGGCCATATTTAGTCCTGAGAAATAGGTGTAGTTTATTACAGTAGTACATAGAGTTTGTATATAGTTTGGTTCGTTAAAGTATTTTTCATTGGCAAATTACTGAAATAATGTAATTTTAAAAATAAGCCAGTGTATTACATAGTAAAACAAAATTTATATACTGTATTTTGTAGAAAGCTGATTTTTTTTTCTTAAGATAAAGTCTTAGACTACCCAGAATGACTAATATGAAATGTGGTGGTGTTACAGCAACTTCTGTCAGTAGTCTGTCTGAATCTTTACCGGCTCAGTGCACAGATGGCAGCATCCCAGAAACTCAGTCAGCATTAGACTCTACGTCTTCATCTATGCAGCCAAGGTAAGGTGACGTCTCTGAATTAGAATTGGATAGCTAATGAAAAATAAAGAATGTATTTTATTTTTGATCAGATCTACAAGGAAAATGATATGAAGCCACTAGCTTAAAATTGTATCAGTCTGGTTATTATTCACTAGTTAGAAAAAACTTTTTATTGTTTTTATGTTGGGTAGTATTGGGAATTATCTTTAAGCCTTAGATGTCCTTTTCAGGTGTTTTTTCTTTTATTTTTCCTCCTAATGAATTCTAACCTACTCCCGAAGTCACTTCGAAGCTCGTTAATTGTTTAAGTTTTAGTCTTATTCTGTTAAGTATTAGTACTTTATTTAAAAATGCATTGTTGTCACAGGTTCTCTTTGTTTAATACATATAATACTCAGTTTGTATGGTAGTATATTTGTTTTTACTTTAAAGTACAGTATTTAGAAGCCTGCATATAGAAATATTTTTTTATTTTTATTCTGTTAGGAAGCAATATATAAAGCATTTACACTGTGATTCCTTTTCCAGTTAATCCTTGGAGACATTCAGTTCTGCTATACCAGAATATCATTTACTCCTTTGCATTAGGGTTCCATAAGCACATCTTTGTCATGCTAATTTTCATTTAGTGAATGCACATACTGGCAATACACGATGGACACACACTAGTACTTTGTTTCTGAAGCAGTAAACTTCAGAATTGTTTTCCAGTTTCAAAGTTCTGTGATTGTGTTTAAGTTATAAAAAGCATCTCTGTATTCTTAAGTATCTGTTAAAATATGTTGAACTTTTATTGTATCACTTCAGTTAATAATCATGTGTTGAGATCATCTTTTAAAATGGAAACATTTTTGCTTTTCTAGCCCTGTATCAAATCAGTCACTTTTATCAGAATCTGTAGCATCTTCCCAACTGGACAGTACATCTGTGGACAAAGCAGTACCTGAAACAGAAGATCTGCAAGGTTTGCAAATGAACTAGCATGATTTTTATCTTGTATTTAACATCTGAGTGTTATAAGCCAAACAAACACTGTCCTAGGTGCATGTATTTAAAAACAAACAAACAAAAAAACAAAAAAACACCTTTTTTTTTGCCTGCTAAAAATGCATAGCTTTATATTATTTTTCTCATGAATAGAATATTTTATATCCTTGAGTATTGACTGAAATTTTTGGAATGATTTCCCACTTACATATAATTATGTCTTCAGTATAAACAGAAAATTCAAAATTTGTTTAGTTTAAAAAATATAGTTAAGTGAATATGGCAGTGTTACACTCTTCTTTTACTTTTTTATTTTTTTGTTTTTGGAGAGGTTTTTGCTATAGGCCATGTGTGCTCGCTAGACAGAGAGACAGAGAGACAGAAAGCAAGAAATCACCCCCCGGGGGGGGGGATGGCCATGCCGCAATCTCTTCTCCAACCTTGTCCTCTCCAGATCTTGGACACACACGCACAAGTGCCCAGCGTGAGTTTTAAGCCACCGGGTCCGGGACTTGAACCGCGGTCGACTACATGGGAGTTCAGCAACATAGCCATTACGCTAACTGCTGGTCCCTTCTTTTATATTATCTTGGCCAGTTTAAATCTAAAATTTACTTCTTCTAGCACTGGGGCTACTAGTTTGAGAGGATTCTCTTTCTCTTGGTTTTTGTTCTGAGTTTTCATTGTTTTGGAGACAGAAGCTCCCGTGTTGCCAGGCTGTCCTCCTGCCTCAGCCTCCTGAGTAGCTGGGATTGCAGATACACACTACAGCACCTACTTTCTTTGGGGTTTTGACTCTCGATTATTTGAGAGACTGTACAACTTGGCTGGCAATCACCCTTTTTTCCCCATTGATGGCTTACAGTACCGTGGTCACGTTCAGTTACCTTGTGCATACAGTGCAGTGCCGGTAGTCCTGCCTGGGCTCCTTATATCCCCATTCTGTGGATCACAGTGACTAGGAATAGTTGAAACTGCCCGTGAAGGCTTTCTTAGTGGGGAAAAGTAGTAGAGAGGAGACCATTTAGGAGGATGTTGAATAATCCGTGCTTCGTTACTTATATTTGATCAGTGTGTGGAAACAGTATGCTAAACTGAGGAAGGATGCTCTGGAAAGACAAGCTTAGTATGATATGATTTAAAGAGAGAATTTGCCCTTGCAAAAGAGCTTCCATTGTGTGTGGTATTCACATAGTGGTCATGGATTGGCAGGCTTAGTTTAAGTTTGCCAAGTTTTAAATTTTGATAACTTAGCCAGTTCTCCATGTTGTGATTTCATGCCCAGTAAATGTTTAACATAATTGCCTATTAGAGTATATTTTGCTATAACAAGAAAATGTGCTCTGCAGCCTACGTAAGTAGTTTATTACTGTCCACCTAGCATATTGATATAAATGTATAAATATTTAAGGGAGTCATTTTTATTGTTTTGTTTAATAGAATTTTTTTTTGAGAGGTTTTTGCTATAGGGTGCGTGTGCTCACCAGAAAGACAGAGAGACAGCGAGAAATCACCTCCTGGGGGGATGGCCATGCCGCAGTCCCTTCCCCTCCATTCTCCTCTCAGGATCTTAGGCATGCATGCACATGCGCCCGGCATAAGTATAAGCCACCGAGTCCGGGTCTTGAACCACAGTCGAATACATGGGAGTCCAGTGACACAGCCATTACACCAACTGCTGGTCCCCATTTAATAGAAAAATTTAAGAGAGGTCCAAGAGGAGAGAGATTTTAAAAGCAGAAATAGAACAAATAATCCAAGATTTATTTATCTACTGGACATGGGAAATAAGGAAAAAAATTTCAAGATTCAGTTATTGACTCAGTGAACACAGGTTTTGTCAAAGCTTCCTATGTTATGATAGTGGCAATGGTGTGTTTGCTTTAGACAGGAGGCTGAAAAAGGTAATGTATCAGACAATTTTAGATACAGTAAACTGGAAGTGGTTCAGTTTCAAAATTGGAAGAGCTCACTGGAGATTGTAAGTAGCTAGTAGACATTTAAATAGGTGGAGTGATCACTTATACCTGAGATTTGAAGTCCTCAGCATAGATTGAAAAATAAGAGTTTAAAAACAAAGGAGCAAGCAGGAGGATGATCCAGTGAAGGGGAAAAAGCAGCATCTAGATCCTTGGTTTCAGGCCTAAGATGCCAAAAGAGAATTTTTTTTTAAAGAATTATCCATGCAGTTTAATTTATCATTATTATTTCCTAATATTTTGCTACAGGGTTCACCAGAGAGATACAGAGACAGAGAGAGAAATGCAGGGTTATTTAGTGGTTTTAAGAGAGAGAGAGAGAAATAATTAGGGAAGGAAGGCATTATTTATGTATTATGATAAAGCAAATTTTAGAATATTGGCATTGAGGGCCAACAGGTGGCATGGTGGTTAAGGTGCTGGATTCCCCTATGGTCAGCTGTCTGGTTCATGTTCTGGACCTGAAGGCTTGAAAATGACTCTGGGTACGTGTGTGTATGTATAAAATCCAAGGAGAAGGGAAGAAAGGCAATTGCGGCATGACCACCTCCCTTAGGAGGTGGTTTCTCATTTTCCTTTTTCTTTTCTCTCTTGTCTGTCTCTGTCTCCAGCAAATACACATACCCTATGGCAAAAACCTAGAAAAGGGGGGCCAGCAGATGGTATAGTGGTTTGGGCACTGGACTCCCATGTGGTCGAGTGCGGTTTGAGTCCCAGACCTAGCAGCCTGAAACTCACGCTGGCCATGTGTGCATACATGCCCCAAGTCTTAAGAGGAAAATGAGGAAGAAGGGATTGCAGCATTCCCATCCCCTACGGGGGGTGAATTCTCACTTTCTGTCTCTCTCTCTCTGTCTCTCTCGAGAGCACCTGTGCCCTGAAGATAGCAAAATCTCTAAAAGAAAAATCAAAAAAGAACGTTGGCATTGAAAAAAATGTGTAGGGACCATGAGGTGTCATGGTGATTAAGGTGCTGGACTCCCATATGGCCAACCATGGTTGAAGTCCCAGAGTTGGCAGTTTATTTTCTTACTTTCCATTTCGCCTTTTCTCATTCACTCTGGTGAGCACACGTGCCCTGTAGCAAATTTTAAAAATAAGAAGAAGGAATCAAATTAAATAAATAATTGTTTTAAGTGAAAGGAAAAAATGTATAAAGTTTAAGGTTACAGTAGCAATTGTACAAGTTTGAGAAAGAGTAAAGGTTATTGGTTGATAAAAGTACTATAATGAAGTGTTTTATACTGTTGGTGATAATTGAGAACAATATTTTCTCCACCTAGCCTGAGTGCATTAATTCAGAGTTGATCATGATGTTGTATTAGGAGAAATTATAGAGGGTTTTGGAAATATATATATATATATTTTTTTTCTTTTTCATGATTTTGATGACTTTTAGGTAAATCAGTATTAACTTTTAAGTACCTTTCAAAAGCTAGCATTTGGGGCCAGCAGCTGGCGTGGTAGTTAAGGGCACTGGACTCCCATATGACTGACTGTGGTTTGAGTCCCAGACCTGGTGGCTTGCTTTCTCATTCTCTCTCTCTCTGCCCCTATCCCCAGTCAAATTAAAATAAATAAAATGAATAAATCTTTTTAAATTTTTTTAAAATAAAAACTTATAGCATTTATAATTTTAGCATAGCAGAATCTGACAAATCAGGTATATTTCATCTGAGTGTAAGGGGATTCATTTTCAATGTATAAAATCTCTTAGCTTAGTGTTTAAAAATGCTTCAACTTCTATTGTTGAATTAATAATGCCTTTTATTATAAGTACACACAAATATAAATGTGTGTGTGTTGCACACACATGTATGCAGTTATGATTTTGTTTGATAGGAACAAATAAAAGAGACATTTTTCATCTATTAAATAAATGGATAATAAAGAGACAAAAAAAATCTCTCTTTCTCTGACTTATGTTTATCAGAGCTAGAACCAAAACCCAGGCACCTGCCTCTCGGCCCGTGTTCTTCCTACTAGACAGTTGTGTATGTTGGACTGGGGCATTGATATGTATGTTCTTGTTGACACGTCTAGTCCCTCTCAGTTCCCAGGGTAGTCTCAGTTGGTTTGGCAAGCTACCTAGGTATCTGTCGTCTTACTTATTACTCCATATGCCTCCCTCAAGGGAAATTAATTTAGACAGGCAGACCACCCCAGATGGAAGAGGGTATATGAGTAGCAGCTGCATTTCTAAACCAAGCATTTCCTAACACTATGTTGGAGTTTTCAGAATAGCTTTTTTCAGTACAGGTGTTCGCTTATAAATGAGGCTATGCTGCCCCCAGGTGGATGGTACTGCTTTCATTTTGGCCTCAGGGGTCTGAAGAAGTTTTCCTATTTACTGAGAATTTAGTATATTTCAGGATGTTTCTTACTCTTAATTTTACAAAATGCAGTGCCTCATTTATATAGTGTCAGTTAGGAATGAAAGTCATATTTCTTGTTGAAAGCTAGCTTCTAAGCATTTTGGTGCACTCTAAACAATTATTCTTGATCAGTCTGCCTTATTGAACCGACATGCTGCCCTTGCACTAGCCTCTCAGTCCCTGAGGTCTTGGGCCATTGTAAAAAGAATATGGAGTTTCACAGATTCTGTTCTCATATCTTACCTAAACACCCCCACAGAACTTCCTTGAGCCTCATTTTTGTGACTTTTAAAGGAGAATTAATAACCATGTTCGCCTTACAGTGTGTTAAAAGTTACTGAGAAAACAGAGGTGAAGTGAGCTTCATAAGCTGTGAAAGATATTTTTATTCTGTATAATACCAAAGTGATTTGGGAGTTATAGGGGGCTTAGAAGTAGATCATTTTGTAGCTTTCCATCAGTAGACTGAAATCATGTATTAAGATGATGACCTATGCATCACTGAAGCATTCTGGGAAGACAGTTACTGTTAAGACACCATAGGAGGGAATGCTGCATTGTGTGGCAGGGTGAACTAGAATTCTTAGGCTCTTTCCAGCTCTGAGGGTTCCTGACTTTATACAAAGTTGAATTATCAAATCATCATCATAGAGCAGTCAAAGGGGAGCAGTCCCTTTTGGACTAATTTAAGAAGGCTGTGTAGGCTTTAAAAAAAATCAGAATGTCTTGTAATTTTGAAGAATGGGAGAGATAGCTAAAACAATTTTAGAAAGGAATAAAAAAACTAAATTGGAGTACTGAAAATTTCTGATGTCAGACACTATAAACTGAACTAATCAAGGCTGTGTGATACTGGCATGAGGCTCAGCAGCAGCAGAATAGACATGTGAGTCCAGAAATACAATTGTATTTATGGGCAGTTGATTTTCAGAAAAGGTGCCAATACCACTTCATGGGAAAGTAGTAATCTTTTCTACAAACGATATTGAGGACAGCCTGCTATCCACATTCGAAAGAATGAATTGGACTTCTATTTCATATCATATGCAAAAATTCACCCAAAAATATATAAAAGAGCTGAATAAATAGAAGAGCTAAGAGTATAAAACTCTTAAAATGGGTATAAATTTTTGTGACCTTTCATTATATAGTGTCTTAGATATAATTCCTAACACACAAGCAGCCAATAAGAATTAGTCAGACTACATCAAGATTAAAACCTTTTTTTTTTTTCCAAAGGACATTATTCAAGAGAGTGGAAAAAGCAGTCCACAGAATGGGAGAAAATATTTGCAAGTTGTATGTCTAATGAGAGTATGTACAAAAAAATTTTTTTTTAATAAGACAACCCAGTTGAAGAATAGAAGGATTTGGGAACCAGCAGTTAGCGTAATGGCTGTGTCGCTGGATTCCCACATAGTCGACTGCGGTTCATGTCCCAGACCCGGGGGCTTAGAAGTCACGCCGGGCGTGTGTGCTGTGTGCGTGCATGCCCAAGATCCCGAGAGGAGAATGGAGGAGAAGGGATTGTGGCATGGCCATCCCCCCTGGGGGGGTGATTTCTTGCTTTCTGTCTCTCTGTCTCTCTCTGTCTGGCGAGCGCATGCGCCCTATAGCGAAAACCTGTCAGAAAAAAAATTTAAAAAAATAAATTAAAAAAAATTAAAAAAAGAATAGAAGGATTTGAGTAAACATTTCTTCATAGAAGATATACAAGTTGCCTATAAGCACCTAAAAAGATGTCAAAATGATTAGTCAGTTGGGAAATACAAATCAAAACCAGAATGAGACAGTACTTCACACTCTCTAGGATAACTGAGGTCAGTAACCGTAAGAAGTATTACCAAGGATGTGGAGAAATCTCGACCTTCGTACATTGCTGTTGGGAATTAAAAATGGTGCAATTGCTTTGGAAAACAATCTAGCAGTTACTGAAAGATTTAAACAAAGTTACCATGAGAACCAGCAGTTTTCATTCCTAAGAGAATAGAAAATATGTACAAAAACTTGTACAGTTGAACAGAATTATCTGTAATTACCAAAAAGTGGAAACAACCCAGGAGGGGTTGTCATCAACAGATAACTAGATAAAAGCATACAATATATCCATACACTGGACTATTTTTCCGCCACAGAAAGTAAGAGAAGTCTGACATATGTGACAACGTAGGTGAACCTTGGAAACATTTTGCTAAGGAAAAGAAGGCAGGTACAAAAGGCCACATATTGGATGATTCCATTTAGATGGTATGTCCAAAGTAGTCCATTCTGCCCACAAAGAGCTAGTAGTTGTGAGGCGCTGGGGGATGTGGCGAGTGGGGAGTGATTCCTAATGGGTGCGAGGTTTTCTTTAGAGTGAATAAAATGCTCTGTAATAGATGGTGGTGATAATTTCACAACCATGAGAATATATATACTAAAACTACTGAATCGTGTATTTTTAAGGGTAAATTTTATGGTTTAAAAAAAAGTAAGCAGGCTCTTGCTGGAGGAGAAATGGTGAGAACAAAAGCACACAGGTACAGAAAACACGAAATTTGAGAAGTAGTGAGCAGACAGTCCCTGAAGTGGCCAGTTCAAGCAAGTAAACCAGGAGAAATCAGAAAATTTGAGGGAAACTGGAATTACAGCATGACTTTATTTATGAGCTTCATATAGCTATTGAATTCTTGAAAGGTAGTCCAAAATGAGAATTTTAGTACATTTTTACATGGTAGTTCCATGGTAGGTATATTGTGTACACTGGGTTTTGAAGATGATAACTCTGAGAAATGTAAAATATTTAATATTTTTGTATTACTGGTTTTTACTAGACAATATAAAATTAAATATATGACTCATATTTCTTGTGGATGTTGCTACTAACACAGGCACATTTTTTGTCTTAAGATTTTTCTCATTTTATAAGGAATTTTTGAGATGTGACTTATTTCAACTAGTATTTCATTCAGTCTGTGCCCTCATTTTGCATATAAAAAGTGAGATCCAAAGAGCTGACATGAATTTTATCTCAATGGGTTATTGTAAAAGTATACCTTATTCAGTAGGTATCTATTGAATGTTTGGTCTGCCAGCACTGGTTGTACAGATATGAACAGAAATAATGGCTAACCTCAAATCTCTTAGTCTCATTTTTGAACAAGACTTGTCACAACTTTTTAAGGAAAGGATGTGTAATACTTAGATAATTGTGTGTTTCCTGCCAGGCCAAGTAGATACGACAAAATGATGTTTGGGAGTTAACTATTAATGTCATTACTTTCGGTTTTATTTTTCACTGTGTATTGAGTACCCTGTGTATGTGAGTAACCTTGTATACACAGTGATGTAGTCCTAAATAGTTTTATGTACTTGTTGTTAATATTTGCGCACTTTTTTCTTTTCTCTCTCTCTCTCTTTCTTTTTTTTTTTTTTTTTTTTTTTTTTCAGGCCCCAAAGCTAGCGCCCTTTTTCCGACAGAGTCTATGCAGTCTCAGAGGATGCGCAGCCCTGCTGAAGCCTTGACTTCACACTTCTACCCTCTAGAACTGTGGAATAAAAGATTTCTGTTTTGAAAGCCATGTAACTGGTGGTACTTTTTTTTTTTTTTTTTTTTTTTTTTTTTTTTTTTTTACAGGACCAGGAGCAGAGGGCCTTGTTCCTCTTGAATGTGATCTTCCATGTGGGTAGTTAAGCTAATTTTACCTGCCCGATGCTTTTTTGGAGTATCTTAACAGTAGTGGCTAGTAGGCTTTGTCTGGTTGGAATGCCCACTTAAAGTTAAGTTAGCAGGTTCTCTACAGCTTGTTCCACAGGCTTATGCTATCACATGGAGCTCCCAAAGAGACTTTTAGGACCAGTTTGTAACATAGGCATTCACACATTCTTAATCATTAACAAGTAGGCAGTCTCTATTTCCAGTTTGCATTTCACATTATGAAGGAGTACATAGTCATGAGGAAACTGTGCATATTTGGGCCTTATGTCCAATAAGGTTATAGTCTTTTGGCCACTGTATGGCCCTTTAAAGACTGAGTTGTCTTTTTTAAATAACTAGATTTTGATAAGGCATTCTTTGATCTTAGATCTCACATATAAACTGAGGAAACAGGGTAGTTTCTCAGAATTATGGATTTACACAGATTATTCTCTTGTCTTACTCATGAATTCATTTGGTGACCATTTAGTAAATTCAGGCTATCAGCTACTAGTTTCAGGTAAACCGAGGTTACCTTAGTCTCATGGGGACATAACTGATGTTTACTGGACCCAAATTCAAGTTCTAGCTTTTAAACTTAAATAGCTTGCTGATGTTTAACTTTAAAGGTTGTCCATTTGCCTCAGTTAAAAGAAAATCCTTAGCGTTAGGTCTTTAGAATTAATTTTGTGAAATGTCTTTGTTGAGAATACAGATGTATGTATTTTAATTTGTCTTCATTTTCAGATACCATTTAAAGTTGATATCACAGTAGTTAAACCAGTTTTGTTTAAAAACACTCTGCAATCTTTTTATAGTGTTACTGCCATTTAAAGTATTATCTTTATTAGTTTATTTGAATATGAGACTGTTTTTGGAGAATAGTTAGATACTATGGCTTAGAGAGTTCAAGGAGAATATAGATGTAACAGGTTCATTTCTGATTCAAGTTAAACTCTTTGCGCTCTAAATAGGCAAACCTTATCTGATAACAGTAAACAGAGCCTTCAGCCCCTGCTGCCATGGAGTTGCATGCTGAGGATATTTATTTATTGACAGTAAACGGTTTGATGTGCTCATGTTCTCTTTCAAAAATAAAGTGTTTATATGACTAGAACTATTTCCTGTCTAGCTGCGGCACATCTAGGTGGAGTAATCATGCTGTGGAGCTCCTTGTTGGTGCATATTTACTTGTTAGTTTGCTAGGTTTTGCCTTTTGTTGTATTTGTTGAAATATGAGATGATGTGTTAACATAAGACAGTTAGACACCATCACAGCAAATGTTTGAGCATCTACTTTGGGTAGCTCCCTGTGACAGGTGTGGAGATCCTCAGCGAGCTTATAGTGTGGTTGGGGAAGTGGGGCACATAGGTGAACAATTCAGAACTCAATTTATTATTTCTTATTTAGTGCCTGCTGTGTACATTAGTAGGAGGCAATGGGATGAGCACTGGTATTAGGGATAAGCAGGACTGATTTCTGCCCTCAGAGAATTCAGTTAAGCTAGCTTAAGTCAAACAGGCCATTCTAATGGTGTGGAAAGTGCTATGGAGCACATAGTTGGGTTTCCCATTCCAAGGTTGGGGGACAGGCAGTGGAGTAAGAACCAACTAAATAAGCTTAAGGAAGAAAGACAAATTGGATCCCGCCAGGTAAAAGAAGGAACAAGAAGATACCCTTCTTGTTTTCTGAATGGAAAGGACAACCTATACCAAAGCCCAGAGGTAAGAGGGTTTGGTATGTCCAGAGAAACAAAACTGCAAGTATTCTTCAGTATGGCTGAAGCATGGAGGATTGTTAAGGAGCGGTAAATGGTGAGGCTAAAGGAAAGAGGACCAAGGAAATCAAAGGGTCTCTGGGCTTTATGCTGTGCATTAGTGGAGAGCCACTGGAGAATTTTAAACATCGATAGAGATACCCTAGGTTTTCATGTAAGGCAGCAGATTAAAGCAAGGATTGAAGAGGGGGCTCATGAGAAGTGCCAGTATTTGATAAGGATGTTAGGAGTAATCACTGAGAAGCTGCAGAGGACTACTGAGAGAAGGGAGGGGAATTTGACCATGGCTTTAAAAAAGAAAGAAACCTAGTTTGAGGGAGAAGGGAAGCCCTTTTGTGGATCAATTATAAGAGGTATGAACAAAGGTGCATGGCATATCCCCAGTTTAGACTGGTAAAGCAGTGGGTTCTTTGGGTAGGGCTAGTCAGTGATAGAGTTGAAGAGGTGAAGCCCTTGACCCATGGCAGTTCACTCACTGTTTCAGAGCAAAGTGCCACATCGACAAGGTCATGTCATAGATTCTGTCTCTGGTGACAGCATTCAGTATGGGCAGGGTGGTTAGTGACAGGAGGAGGGGACACGTCAGTTAGGACTTAAGAGTAGTAATATGACTGCAACCTTTATACATATGCTCTTGGTTTCAGTGCATAAAAACATCAGTTTATTATCTTAATTATCATTGTAAAATTCTTTGCATCAGTTCTATTTCTAACATTTTGAAGGCTTTTATGTGAAACATTGTAAGAACTTCAAACATACTTAGTATTTCTCAGAATCTTGGTTTGACCTTTTTGTTGTTGTTTTCTTAGAAATGTACATAATTTGACTCCAGACAGTATTAAGAAGTTTGCATATGGCTATTTTCTTGCGCTTTCCCTTAGATGACCCTGGTAATATGTGTGTGTGTGCCTTTTATTGGTCAAATACATTATCAGAAAAATTAGAAAATACAGTTTAATCAGGAGAAAATCTCTATTTTAGATGATTTTCTGCATATACTATATATACATTTAACAATAAAAGGGTCATATTTTATAAACAGCTTTGTAATTTAATGTGAACATCTTTTCATGCTAATAAATAAATGTCTCAAATATCTTCTAAATAGCAGGTAAGTGGAAGTTGGGTGGGAGACACCAACCATTTGCACATCTAAACCTTATCAAATCATTTAAATTTACCCCCTTCTTGTTTTTGTCAGCATCAGTATCAGATACGGCACAGCAGTCATCTGAAGAGCAAAGCAAGTCTCTTGAAAAACCAAAACAAAAAAAGAATCGCTGTTTCATGTGCAGGAAAAAAGTGGGACTTACTGGTAAGGACCTAAATCAAAAGCTTTAAAATTAAGATTATATTATAAAATAATTCATGACTTACATCTGTTGTTTCTGTTCCCACTAGAGTTAATACTGAATACGCTTCAGCTTTTAAATTTTCTTAAATAAAAATAGTATCAATTATGTACCTAAAAATGAAATGAAAAACTTTCTTTTAAAAATGTATTTCAGCTGAATTCAAGAGTATGAGATAAGTGAGGGCAGTGTGCCAGGTGCTGTGGAAGGGCAAAGATAAGGATCCTTGTTAAAGAGAATTCAAGTACATGACGAGCTCCGCGTAAAATGGACTAATCACAGGTTGTCGTGGAGGCCCAGTGAGTTAAGGAAGTAAGCAGTGGGCCTGATTCGGTATATCTTGGTATAATCAATGTATGTTGGCTACGATAATGGTAGCTATCAGATGGTATTGTTATGAAGAGAGGGAGAAAGGGGGCCAGGTTGTGGCACTGTGGTAAAACACGATGTTCTAAGACTGACCCATATGGGAGGGTTTCAGGTTCTGGTTCAGAGACCTTCTGGAGTAAGCTGGCACATACATGCCCATGATCTGGAGCTGGCTGAGGCTGGGTGTGGATCATGGTGTTCAAGAGTGTTTTGGGGATGCACACGCACTCTTGCTCTCACTGTGTCATTTATGAAAGTGACATCTTTGGTGGTTAAGGTGGCTGGATCCCACATGACTGACTGTCCAGTTCAAGTCTCAGACCTAGTGACTTGAAAAACAAGCCAGGTGTATGTACGTGCATGCCCAGAATCCCAAGTGGAGACTGGAGAAGGGACTGCAGTGTGACCGTCCCCTTTGGGGGTGATTTCTCACTTCCTCTCTCTGTCTGTCTCCAACCAGCACATATGTCCTATAGCAAATTAAAACATAAACTTTTTAAAAGGGAGTAAAAAAAATTTGTAGGAGAGAAAATATATTAAGGACGGTCAGCTCTGGAAATTCAGGGAATAGGGTAATTAATTAACATAAAAGAAGGGGAGTAGAGGCCTGGCAAGAAAAGCATGCAAGTGCAGCTGTGAATACTCATCTATTGTTTGGCGTACTCCCCGCCAACTTTTGTGCAAGTCGACATAAAAACTTGATTTGCGTACAGAGAAGTCTATGTAATATTTTTGAGCAAAATTAATGCTTTTTAGAAGATTACTTTTTGCTAAGAAATGAGTTAGAAATAAAGAAGAAAGGAGGTGAAGAGTCTGATACCAAAAATGTTTCAGACCATACCTTTTCAAAGGTGTATTTAATAGAAGTGAACAAATAAGACATTTTAAAATACACTCATTTCTACCAAATACAGTCTCTCTAATCTCATAAACTCTCAGACTTCATGAATAGAAGGCTGAAATTTAGTAGATTTTATCTTCTGTCAGTCTAATCTAGAGTTACTGTTTGCTTCATTTAACTTTATCATTAAGAAGTTGCAAAATATGGTCTTGAGGCAAAAAGTAAGTGAATGTAAAATGCCGATGTTTAAAATCCTGATTCCTGTGCTTCACTTCCAACAATTTCATCTAATTTGGGGGGATAGGACCAATTTTATATAAAAACTATGCATAGCAATTACGTCTTTATTTTGGCTTCAGCTCTTTCAGCATCTCCCTAAAATTAAGTAGCACTTAACTTTGTGTATTTACTATATATTAAGCACTTGATACATTCCTCATGTAATCCTTACAGGAACTTATTATTCCAAAATTACAGATTCAGAAACTGAGGCTCAGAGAGGCTCAGTAATTTGTCTCCATTAGTAAATAGAGTAATACTTAGGCAGCCCAACTCTAGATCTCACACTCTTACCTAAAAAGCTCAGCAAAAGTACAGATCACACCTGCATTGGAGGTTAGCAGAGAAAAGCGAATATGGATACCGAATTATTTGTGAACAGTTCTTTCAGAGGTTTAACTTGATCTTTCTTAATTAAATGTTAACATTGTCTTCTGATAGTAGGCTTATTTTTACATTGCATTATTGGATTGGAAAATCATTTTGATGTTGCACCTGTGTTCTTGATAGGAAGTAATTGTGGCCATATCATAGGCAAGAAACTTGAACTCAGGGTAATGGTTAGTACTTACTCTGGTACAAACCTTCATTCATAAATAGAGTATACACCTACTAGTCAGTCAACCTTGAGAATGTAGGTCCTGAAACTGTTACTTAGAATGAGTGTGTGGTTCCGATTGCTGCCTTACATATGTGGTGGTGTTTAGCATTAATAATGTCAAAGAAACTTCAGTGTTTTGCCCTTCCATCCAGCTCATGTATGTGTATTAATCCATTTTCAGGGTTTGAATGCCGGTGTGGAAATGTTTACTGTGGTGTACACCGTTACTCAGATGTGCACAATTGCTCTTACAATTACAAAGCTGATGCTGCTGAGAAAATCAGAAAAGAAAATCCAGTAGTTGTTGGTGAAAAGATCCAGAAGATTTGAACTCCTGCTGGAATACGGAATACAAAATCCTTTGACCATCTGCAAACTAAAAATTGACTTGAGGTTTTTTTTCCTAGTCATTGGGAATGTAGAGCAATGTATCTTGCATAGACCTTTTAATCATGCATGTCATCAGAAGAATAGATTTTTGTTTTTGTTTTGAAAATGACTCTGAACATTTATTTCCATTGCAGTTTCTGTGGCTGAAAAGACTTAAACTTTACAAGTATTATCCTTTTAAGATCATTTTAATTTTAGTTGAGTGCAGAGGGCTTTTATAACAAATGTGGAGAAATTTTGGAGGGCTGTGATTTTCCCAGTATTAAACATGCATGCGTTAATCTTGCAGTTTATTTTCTCATTGTGTATGTAAATATAGCTTTTCTCTGCAGCACGATTTCTCTTTTGATAATGCCCTTAGGGTACAACTAGTTATCAGTAACTGAATGTATCTTAATCATTATGGCTGCTTCTGTTTTTTCATTAACAAAGGTTATATATAAGTTAGCTTTATAGTTTCTTTGCACCCACTATTTATGTCTGAATCATTTGTCACAGGAGAATGTGTGCTGATGAGATTCTAAGTTTGTGTGTTTAAAAAATTTTTTTTGAGCGAGGGAAGAAAAAGCTGTATGCATTTCATTGCTGACTGCAAGTTTCTTTCAGATTTCGTTCATTGGTCTGTGTGTATACAATATGAAGAATGATCTGAAGTAATTGTGCTGTATTTATGTTTATCCACCAGTCTTTGATTAAATAAAAAGGAAAATGAGGATGCTCTCTTGTATTACTTTTTTTTTTTTCTCCTGGGGTCAGCTTTCTGGGAACAGTTTTCATTTTCTACTTTCCTAATTTTTAAGAGTTCCTTTGTTTGTGTCACATCTATCTATGGTGAATCTTATTGTGATAAATGATAATCTTACATTCTTATGACTTGAAGACCTCAGCATTTCTTCAAAGCCAAGAACTTCTCTCTGTCACTTAGCACCTGCTTATCTGATTCCAGTTCTGCACCCTGTCATGTTGAATTAACATCTAATGGAAGCTTCTTTTTCTGGTAGGATTAGAAAAACTGATAGAGTATAATTCAGACAGTAGGAATGTCTGAGAATTGAGTAGAGAGTCCTTCATGAGACTGTGTTGTCCTAGGGTTTCCAAAGTTAAACTGGCAGCCAGTCTTTTTTTTTAACATGAAATACATGAAACAGATAAAGGCAGTATTTTACAGTACAAATTTTTAGATTTATAATTGTTTACCTATTACTTTACTTACATGTTCTATTTAAGTATATAAGAATAATTTAATATTAAAATATGCATAGGTAATTCATCATAGTAGCCAATTAAAATGATATAAAACCATTATGACTATCTTAACAGATTTAGATATTTAACACCCACTCATGTTTTAAAACAAAACAAAATAAAACTCTATAGGTAGACATTTCCAAGAACTCGTAATGGGTAAAGACAGTGTCTGCAGCAAATGGTGTTGAGAAACCTGAGCATCCACTTGCAGACACATAAAATTGGACCCTTATCTCCCACCACATACAAAAATCAACCCAAAATGGATTAAAACTTAAAACATAACCCTAGAAAGTTACTATAAATAAATCTACTAGAAGTGGGAGCAGCAGGTGGCGTACTGATTAAGGTGCTGGATTCCCATGTGGCTGACCACAGTTTGAGTCCTGGACCCAGAGTCTTGAAACTTATGCCAGACACCTGTGCCTGCGTACACAAAAATCCCAGGAGGGGAATGGAGGAGAAAGGATTGCTGTGTGGTCGTCCCCTCCCCGGGGGTTGATTTCTCACTTTTTTTTCTGTCTCTGTCTCTTCTGTGAGCACCCATACCCTATCACAAAAATCTCTTTTTAAAAAATGCTGGATCCCACATGGCTACTCTACCTTTTGGAGAAGCAGGCTAGGCACATGTGCATAAAAAAATAAGCCCTGTGAAGAAAATGCAGGCTAAGGGATTGTGGTGTGGCCATCTCCTCCCCCCCCCCCCCCCCCCAATGTGTGTGTGTGTGTGATATCTCACTTTCCATCTCTTTCTCTCCAGCGAACACTTGCACTATATTGCAAAAGTCTTTAAAAGAAAACTACCAGGAGAAAACATCGTGACGTAAGTCTAGGCAATGATTTTTCAGCTGAATCTAAAGGCACAGGCAACAAGGTCAAGCTAGACAAATGGGATTATGTCCAAATAAGCAAAGGAAACCTTCAGCAGACTGAAGAGACAACTTGTGGCACAGGCAAGAAAGTACTTACAAACCGTGTGTATGATAACGAGTGAGCATCCAAAATGTGTAAAGAACTCAGTAGCAATAGAAAGAACTCAATCTTACAATGGCCAAAGGACCTAAATAGATATTTCTCAAAAGAAAACCTACAAATGGCTAATAGACATGAAAAACTCAACAGCACCAGGTGAATGCAAATTAAAGTCACAGTGAGAGCAACGCTTAACATCTGTTCGAATGGTTTCTGTCCAAAAGTCGAGAGAGAGCAGTGTTGGCAGGAATATGAAGAAAAGGGGACTCTCTCACACTTAGTGTGAGTATAAATAAGTACACTTACGGAAGGTATAAAGTTTCCTTGAAAAAATGGAACTGCCGTATGATTGAGCAGTCCCATTACTGGGCATCCATCAAAATGAAGTCTAATCAGTGTATCAAAGATGACTGTCCTGTGTTCATTGCAGGAACACTCAGCAGTGAAGATTCAGAATCAGTCGAATCATCTACCCGGTGTAGATGAATGGATAAAGGGGATGTATATATATGCAATAGAATACTACTTAGCCTTGAAAAAGAAGGAAGTTCTGTTATATGTGACATGGATGAACCTGGATCAGCCTGGCACAGAAAGACATGCTGCATCTCTCCTGTGGAGTCTAAGCAAGTTAATCTCTTAGACGTGTAGAAAAGTGATTATCAGAGGCTAGGGCAGATAGGGGCACGAGTTGATACAGAGATACTGACCAGAAGATGCAGAATTAGGTAGGTGGAATGAATTGAGATCTTTGTACAACATGAACTCATTCTTGGACCTAGGCGAAGACTGTTGGTTTTGGGTGTTTGAAATACGGAATGCATACATTAACTAGCTCAGTTTAGCCACGGTGTACACAGCTTTCAAAACAACACATACACAGTAAATGTATACAATTTTTATAAACAAAAATGAAATTGGAAGAATCCTTGAAGTTACTGAGATGTGATAGTTGGAATGTATCTGACAGCGAGCAGTGGACCTCCTGGTGCAGGTACGTAGCACAGAGTATATCGTCCTAAAATGTTCTTAGGCAGATTCGATCTAATCCCTGTGCTGTGTGTTGCCCTTTTATATATGTTAGTGATGAAGAGGAGGAGAACTGGATCAGAGGTTGAGGAGGACTTGCCATGCATCCAACAGCATGCCAAGATGGTTGCCATTTTCCTCTAATTTCCCTAACAACCTTACAAGGCAGGTATCATTTTTATTTATTCATTTTTACAGCATCAAATGAAGATTTGGTGAGGTATGGTATCCCACCCAAACTCAGATACGTACATTCCAGAACCAGATTTCAAACCTTTATGTTTAGGTTTGTTGGTCAACACACAGAATCTGCTTCTGTTCCCCATATCCAGGAAAGGCACCACAAGAAAAAACTGAGGCCTGACCAACCTGCAAAGAGAGCTCTTTTATTACAAGCTGTTGCTCGTATTGAGTCATTGGAAAAGTCATGACGTTATTTTTTTTCATGTTTTTCTATGCAAAAGTGGGTCATGACCTTTCAGATGACCCCGTAAGTGCAGCAGTGTCTGGGGAAGGAGGCACTGTGAGTGCCAAACAGGTCGAGCAGAGTGCAGTGTATCTGTATTTCTCTGTGCTCCTTCTCTGGGAGGAGGTTGGGACCAACAGCTATCGCTCAGAGAGACATCATTTGGATAGCAAAAGAGGACAAATTGGGGTGAGGAAATTGGAGCAGGTATTAATTGACAAGAAAACAAGGCAAAATTAGAAGTATCTTGTTGCAGTCACAAGAGAACTTGAAAAGTTGTTTATGCTTTGTAGAACTCATTATATGATAGACATTAAGTCATAATACCGGTGATAATTCTGGTGCTGCGTGCTTCCCATCTTTCCGATCCAGCTTCAGTCCCGGCCAGCCCGTGGCATGGTGTTTGAGGAGGCTGAATCTTACTGGGCTAGCTGTGTGGTTTGAGTCCTAGGTCCAGTGGCTTGAGAAAGATGCCAGGTGTGTGTGGGTGCATGCCCAGAGTTCCAAAAGGAGAGAGAGGTAGAAGAGAAGATTGCAGCGTGACTGTTCCCCGTGAGGGGAAGCTTTTGCTTTCTCTTTCTCTTTCTCTTTCTCTGTCTCTCTCCAGCAAGTTTTAAAAAGTTTTAAAAAGAAAATCTGAAATGAAATTAAGGTAGTAGTCCATCAGAACATGATGGTAGTGTTTGAAACAAAGCAAACTAAAGAAACGGGGCAGGAAGGAGAAAGTTTGTACTGTAAAACACAAAACCTGGTCGAACTGTTGTTTCCTGTTGTTTTGGATTTTGTTTGTTTTATTTTGGCTTTGCTTGGAATTAAGAGAGAGAGAGGGCTATGTTAAAGGTTGGGCTCTTTAAGGAAATGTCTTCTTTCCTCCTCTCCTGACCCAGTAATGTTTATTGTGCATACTTTGATATGGTTGCTGTCATGTGTTTGGTATGGTTGTCACGAACATTGGCACCAGAGGGATACGATACACAAATGTGCATGATAGTCTGTTCTCTCAGAGGACACATAAATATATACTTTTTTATTTATCACTTGCAATGAGATTGGAAAAAAGAATTCTCCAAATTTAGAGGACCTTGGGAGTGGACTTCAGTAACTCAAAGTATATGGTGTACAGTAGGGAAAAGGGGAATGGATAGTTTCCTGCATGTTGCAAAAAAAAAAAAAAAACCCAAAAAACCATAAAAATAGAGCCACCACACTGTGGCTGTTGGTGCAGACAGTGTCCCCACCCTAACTGAACGGTAGCTGCCAATTCTCAGAGCCCTTATGAGATGTCAGCATCCTGGGTCCAGAAAGCCCTCCCCTGGCTCCCTTGTAAGGAGTGAGGGGGACCTTGTAGGGATGAGGCTGCCATGCAGGTGTGCTGTGTCATAGCATCAGAGGGTGTCACTGGAAAGGGCACAGTGGAGGCTTAAACAAGCCTTTAGTGCTGGAGATGCTGAAACTGCTCCAGGCCTGATGATGTTCAAACCTTTTGACCCCGGAACCCACCCTGAGAGAGTCTGGGGAAAGGACAACATTCTGTGCAGGCAACTCTCCCCTGCACCCCTATTATTACCATTTAAACCATGGTGACTTCTCAGCCAGTGTCAGTGATGGTGATGAGCCCTGGGTAGCCATTGAAGATGCTGAATTGCTGTCACTTCCATAGACTATTGTTTCCCTTGGGCAGACTTAAAGCAACTGAAGTTGGGACCAGCAAATGGCGTAATGGTTACATTGCTGGACTCCCATGTATTGACTGTCATTTGAGCCCTGGACCTAGCAGCTTAAAACTCAAACCAGGCGTGTGTGTGTGCCCAAAGTCCTGAGCGGAGAATGGAGGAGAAGGAATTGCAGCATGGCCATCTCCCCACGGGGCGATTTCTCACTTTCTGTCTGACTGTCTGTCTGTCTGTCTCTCTCTCCAGTGAGCACATGTATCCTATAGCAAAAATCTCTCTCCGAAAAAAAAATCTGAATTCAGCCTTAGGCAGAGCCACTCAGTGTGGAAGATGAGAGCGAAGAGGCTGTGCCCAGGTTGAGCCCCTTATTGGGCGACCATTGGTCTGGCTTTGGTGGTCTGTTATCTCAGAGTCTAGGGAGGGGGACTCAGTGGCCAGTCTTGCTGCAATAAACCCTCACCTCGGGCCTTTGGGTTTCAGGCCTCCCCTTAGCTTATATCCTGCCAGCTCCCAGCCTCTTCATCAAAGCCAATCTGCAGAGAAGCCTGCTAACTCTGTCATTCCTCAAGGGTCTTCCAAAATTTTTGTCCAGACTATTCTCCTGTTCTATAATAGTACAGCTTTATTAATGCCTGACAGCATCCTGGCTCATTAGAAGCATGCCTGAACCATTCACTGCCACACACTGAGGTGTGTTCCCAGTGTCCTGGTGATAACATCATCATAAAACATTTCTATTGTAGTACCTGCATGATTAGATAGCACCTTAAACCCATGCTCAAATAGCCTGCTTTTCCCTCCCTCCTTCCCTCTCTCCTCTTTCCATAAATCACTCAAAATCTTAATACATCATTTTAAATTGCAACTTATTTGGTGCACACCTCCCTGCTAAGCTAGAGATGGTGACAGGGAGGAAGATGGCAACTGCCTAGGAACTTGGACAAGTGTGTGCTTTGAAAGATTTCAGAGAAGTTCATTTAGAGAGGACTGTAGGTGAGAAGAGAATGAGGCAAGAGACTGCGGGTGAAGAAGTTGCAACTTTACAGTGTTTTCTTATTAAAAAATATGAAGGGAAAAGATTATTTTTTACAAATCCTGGGGTTCTGCAGCCTTTAAAATGTTTTTTTTTTTTTTAATTTATTTCTAGGACTGCGGCTTGATTTGTTATGTTTTAAAATTTTCAGTCAGTTTTGCTTGTGTGTCCATTAATTTCTTTTTTCTTTTCTTTTTTTTTTTTGTTTAGAGGTTTTTACTATAGAGCGCATGCACTTGCCAGAAAGACAGAGAGAGAGAGAGACAGAAAGCGAGAAATCACCCCCTGGGGGGGGGTGGCCATGCCCTCCCCACGGGGTGATTTCTCACTTTCTGTCTGACTGTCTGTCTGTCTGTCTCTCTCTCCAGTGAGCACATGTATCCTATAGCAAAAATCTCTCTCCGAAAAAAAAATCTGAATTCAGCCTTAGGCAGAGCCACTCAGTGTGGAAGATGAGAGCGAAGAGGCTGTGCCCAGGTTGAGCCCCTTATTGGGCGACCATTGGTCTGGCTTTGGTGGTCTGTTATCTCAGAGTCTAGGGAGGGGGACTCAGTGGCCAGTCTTGCTGCAATAAACCCTCACCTCGGGCCTTTGGGTTTCAGGCCTCCCCTTAGCTTATATCCTGCCAGCTCCCAGCCTCTTCATCAAAGCCAATCTGCAGAGAAGCCTGCTAACTCTGTCATTCCTCAAGGGTCTTCCAAAATTTTTGTCCAGACTATTCTCCTGTTCTATAATAGTACAGCTTTATTAATGCCTGACAGCATCCTGGCTCATTAGAAGCATGCCTGAACCATTCACTGCCACACACTGAGGTGTGTTCCCAGTGTCCTGGTGATAACATCATCATAAAACATTTCTATTGTAGTACCTGCATGATTAGATAGCACCTTAAACCCATGCTCAAATAGCCTGCTTTTCCCTCCCTCCTTCCCTCTCTCCTCTTTCCATAAATCACTCAAAATCTTAATACATCATTTTAAATTGCAACTTATTTGGTGCACACCTCCCTGCTAAGCTAGAGATGGTGACAGGGAGGAAGATGGCAACTGCCTAGGAACTTGGACAAGTGTGTGCTTTGAAAGATTTCAGAGAAGTTCATTTAGAGAGGACTGTAGGTGAGAAGAGAATGAGGCAAGAGACTGCGGGTGAAGAAGTTGCAACTTTACAGTGTTTTCTTATTAAAAAATATGAAGGGAAAAGATTATTTTTTACAAATCCTGGGGTTCTGCAGCCTTTAAAATGTTTTTTTTTTTTTTTAATTTATTTCTAGGACTGCGGCTTGATTTGTTATGTTTTAAAATTTTCAGTCAGTTTTGCTTGTGTGTCCATTAATTTCTTTTTTCTTTTCTTTTTTTTTTTTGTTTAGAGGTTTTTACTATAGAGCGCATGCACTTGCCAGAAAGACAGAGAGAGAGAGAGACAGAAAGCGAGAAATCACCCCCTGGGGGGGGGTGGCCATGCCGCAATCCCTTCTCCTCCATTGTCCTCTCGAGATCTTGGGCACGCATGCACACGTGCCCAGCATGAGATTAAGCCACCAGGTCCAGGACTCGAACCGCGTTTGACTACATGGGAGTCCAGCGACATAGCCATTATGCTAACTGCTGGTCCCTCCATTAATTTCTTAACTTTTGATTCTAATGTCATGAAAATGTCCAAAGGAAATTAACCAAAACTAAGCATTTCAAGGAGTGATTTATAGGTCAGCAACTATTGTATACCCCACACCTTTTGTAATTTTAAGCTTGTTTTTAAAGAATTTTTTTTTATTTCTAAGGAATGTGCATTTATATTTTAAACTTACCTTCAATCAGTGATGACCACTTGATATTTATCATTGTGTCCTCTCATCCCACTGTCTTTATAAAGGAAGACAAGACCCAGAAACAGGGGCTGGCTGTTTGATTGGATGTCCCTGCATGAGAAAAAGTTCATGGATCGCTGACTGTGCCAGGCATAAGTTACTGGATCGTCACAGACAGCAGTCCTAGAGGGAAGGTACTATATTCTGTGAGAGGTGAGGGGCGCCATGACTAGAGCCTGACTTGCCCATCATGACATGTCTGAGTGGATCTCAAACTCAGGCCCGTCTGAGTTCCTTCAGCTCTAACCACCTGCACTGGAAAGAGGAACATGTAAATTAGTTCATCTTCTCTTCTCTTTTCTTTTTCTCTCTTTTGTTCTCCCCTGTTTTCTTTTTTCCACTCCCTGTCTGCCTCTTTTTTCTTCATTGTCTTTGTCTTTTTACACACACACACACACACACACACACACGGAGTTTTCAAAATGTTCATGGAAAATACATATGATGGAAAAAACTATGCACAGATTTCCATGTTTTTTCTACACCCGAATTACCTTCCCTTTCGCTAATTATCTTTTCACGAACTTTTTGAGGTCCCCTCCTTTGTAGTCTTGGTATAGCAGGCATATTCAAAGTGCTCCACAAACATGAATTCATGCCATTATCTATCAACTCTGGAAGCTGATAGAAAACAGTGACCTGCGAAGAGGGAAGCCGAGGCAGGTTGGTTACGTGTCCAGGGTCAGCTTGGCCGCGTCATTTAACAGCAGAATGTGAATGAGTTATGCTGCTTGGCATAGTCGTTCTCATTCATCTGGGGCTTCCAGGCATGACTGAAGTGTCACAGCTGGACAAATTAGCATGGTTTACCAAGGTGGGAAGGACACTACTGGGTGTTCCACAGCCTAGGAGGCAGCGTCTGGGGGCAGTCTCCTCCGCTTCCAGTGGGCAGATGAGAGCCCTACTGAGCTGAAGAGCAGGGCGCGCAACTCAGGGGAAACGAGGTTAGGGTTTGCTTTCAGTAGGCTGGGGCCTCTGCACCCACGGCTGACCCAAGGCCTTCCCAGGTGAACTCTCGGTGGGGCCAGGGGAGGGGCAGAGCTTGTGGGAGGGGTCCCTGCTGCGTCACCGGGCTGGGTAAGGAGGGGGG